TTCCACTAAATAAATTTTGAAGCCTCACAAATAGTTGCATTTGTATTATTGTGATTTTGAAGTAAAAAGTCTAGCAATTTGAAGCCATTTAAATCAGTCAAATTCCACTTAAATCAGCTATTTTTCCTCTCAGGTGTGACTGAAAATGTTTTTTATCTTCTCGTTCTAGTACTCAATCTTAATGGTTTGAAGGGGTGACTTCAAATATTCCAATTAATTAATGGAGACGATATTTTAAGTTATGAAATCAAGCACATAAACGTACGTTTTGTGAATAAACATACCTTTTTTTTTTTGACTGATTCGGATTTCTGATTCCCATAATACAGGGGTAGCCATAAACTGGGAAACATGGTCCCTATAGTTTGGTAATGAGAGAGGTTTATAGTTTGGAATATTTAATATTAATTTCATTTTTTGTGAATTTCGCCATATCTCGAGAACATTCTAAGCGAATTGAAATATGTTTGCGCACTATTATATAATCTGTTAAATCAAATATACACTCTATAACAAAAAAATCGACGCACCAAGAAGAAGTTATCCGATTGAAACGAAAATTGGTGGATAGAAAGACAATGTACAGAATAGTAAATGATTAAAATTTCAGAACAATTGAATAATTTATTGCAGAGTTACAGTAACAAGTTCAATAAGGTGTTGACCCGCCTCTAGCCTGGATACAAGCTGTCACACGGCTTGGCATAGACCGATAAAGCTCCCGGATGGTCTCTTGCGGTATTTCCTGCCAAATTCGATCCAATTGTCGAACGAGGTCATCAACATTCCGTGCCAGATGCAATCGCCTTCCCATCATATCCCAGACATGCTCGATGGGAGAGAGATCTGGTGATCTGGCAGGCCAAGGAAGAATTTGACAAGCTTGCAGACAGTTCATAGCAACACGTGCCGTATGTGGTCTGGCATTGTCCTGCTGAAAAACCATCCCAGCGTGCTGCAAAAGGAACGGTAGCAAAATAAGTCTTAGGATGTTGTCGACGTACCGCTGCGCTGTAAGTGTACATCTAATGACGACAAAGGGGTCCGGCTGTCAAAGGAAATGGCACCCCAAACCAAAATGCCTTGTTGAAGGCCGGTGTGGCGTGCAACAGTGAAGGCAGGATCCCCCCTCTGCCCTGTGAGTCTCCTAACACGTCTTCGATGATCGTCAGGACACAATTGGAAGCGGGATTTGTCGCTAAAGACTATACATCCCCAGTCGGCATCATTCCAGCAATGTCTGTTCAAAACATTCATGCATACGAAATTTCAAAACAATCGGATGATTGCTTCTTGGTGCGTTGATTTTTTTGTTATAGAGTGTAATTCTATGAAAGAAAAAACATTATATTCATATATATTTATTATTTTTTTAATTTTATTTAATGATAATCAAAAAAATTTTAAACTATAAGGTATATAATTTTTTTTTTACATAATTTTAAAGAATGTAATTTTAGATAGTAGAATAAAACAAATTTGAGTGAAATCGGTCGAATAGTTCCTGAGGAATCGAATTTTAAAGAAGACGTATTTTTAAAATTCAATTTTCCAGAAACTGTTCTGCCGATTTTGCTCAAATTTCGTAGCTTGCCATGCAAAATTACGGTCTTTAAAATTAGGTAAAAAATTATATACCTAAAGTTCAAAATTTTTTCGAATTCAAATTTTTATTTTATTAAAAAAAATAACGAAAAATAATAAATATTTATTAAAAGTTATATTTTGCATGGAATTATCTTTGGATAAACAAATATTATATATAGGTAAAATTTTTTTTCCAATTCGCTTAAAATGTTCTTGAGGTATGGTGAAATACGCAAAAAAATAAAATTAACATTAAGTGTTGACTCTCTCTCTTATATGGGGATATTTGATATAGGCGATTAGGATATACCACATTTACCAGATTTTGGTTACCCGCTATAATTGGAAGGTCAGAAATCCGAATCCGTTGAAAAGAAGGCATGTTTATTCAGAGAGAAAACGTCTTTGTGCCTGATTTTGTAACTTAAAATATCGCCTGCACTAATTAGTTAGCATATTTATAGTCACCCCCTCAAGTCATTAAGAATGAGTTCTAGAACGTGAAAACGCAATCACCACAACAAAAGTTATTCAGGGTGGTCCGTTTTCGTATTTTGCGCACTGTAAATTGCATTCAGGATTATGTAAAATATTTGGCTGGAAAAATAACCTCCACTAAAAAAGAATTTAAAATCCCCCCTAATGTTAAAATATAAGCTTCTTTAAATAATAAAAAATAATCCTTAAATTTAATTTACGGTTTTAAAACTAAAAATTGTATAAAATACTCAATTAAAAAGTATCCTTAGAGTTTTAATATACGAGTGTTAATGTTAATTTTATGTAATTTATTTGGTTTTTTGCTTGTTAGATGGCGCCACTATTCGAAAATATCTAGAAAATTAAAAGCACGAAATTTACTTCTTATTTTTTTTTTTTTATCCAATTAGACTTTTGTTTTGAAATCTATAATATACAGACAACATCTCTAGATGAAAGAATAAAAAAATATAGCTTCATTAATATCCAATTTTGGTATAAAGCTAAGAAAAAGTTTTAGAACTGCTAAAAATTTGAAATATTTGATATTTTTTATTATAAAAACTTCCTATTTTGTAATTGGTATTCTATTTAGTTATTTTATATTTTACATATTCTTTTTCCTAAATTTCCATATCCACAATAATGTTTTTCAAAATAAACGATAAGTAGAAACGGCCATTTGTATTTTAGCAAAAGATCTATAAATAAAAACATTCACATTTACACGAACTTTGAATTCCTACAATAATTCTAAATTTTCAATTATCTACATAGTTCAAAAGGTTTACAAAAAAAGCATTTTTCTTCTAACAAAGAAAAATAAATGATACTAAAAAAGGAGGACAAAAATTATTAACCTTCTAATGAGAGAATGGCAAGTTTCTACCATGGAAAGAAAAACCCTCCCAAAAGAAATAGGTTTCATCCAACTGAAGAAATAGAAGAAATTATTCTTCAAAATGAAATACCAATTATTGCATCAATATAGAATAATAGTAATTTTTAAGTTAATAAATCGTTAATAAATGAGTGAAAACTGAAATGTAGCATTTTATTTCAATGAATATCCTAAGTAAATGAATTTTTTTTCTCAATATTTTACGTAAAGAAGAATTTAAAAAAAATTATAATTAAATAAGGAATTGTTAACATATAATCATATTTTATTAATATAAAATCAAAATAACAAATAATTAAAAAAACTTATACAATGGAAAATTGCATATAAAGTTGACAAATAAAAATATTCTAATTTTCATAATCAAAGACAATTAAGTATGAAAACTCAAATCAACTCTCAAATAAAATGATATATAGATTTAAAAATTCTGTACAAATCCCAAAGAAATAAATTATTTTTAGAAAAGTAAATGTGATTTTTTTTTAAAACTTTCTAGCATTATATTAAATTAATTTCTGGAATATTCTATTTTGCTCTCACAAGTTTTAGATATTTTTAGTTTCTGCTATTTTAACCAGATAATCCTATTTTGTCGATTTTCTTCCAACTCATGAAATGTCAGCTTTCAAGTTTAAAATGCAGGGTGTTCCGTTATCACTCCCCTTAAAATGCTTTATTTAATATATATGTTTAAAAATAAATGAAAAAAACACTTAATGATCTGAAACCAATAATAAAGAGAGTGAAAAACTATAACGCTATCGAAGTGTAACAAATCACTAGAGAGGAAGGCTAGGATAAAAATTTAAAATCATATTTGGTAGCAGGAAGAAATAAACAGGAGTTGACTGGCATTCACGACAAGCAGCTCTGCTCTCATCAGGCAATCAAAATGGTTTTAATGTTTTTTTCTTTCAATTTTCTTAAGTCTCGCCTTTGTTCTAGAAATTTTGATAGCTTCTTATTTCTATTTGATTGAATGGTGACCCCAGATGGGTATACGGAACTTAATCTGCCTTTGTGGAAGCTATTAGCCCTGGTAGCAGGGCTCGAAAAAACTCAGAAATTTTACCCGTCCCCGAGGACGGCTTGTCCAACAATGCACCCGTCCTCCGTTGAAACTAACCCGTCGATTTTAAATAAATAAAAATATAATTTTCCAGTTCCACAATCAAGCCAATGATTTACAGAGGTTTCTGAACAGAAATCTGAAAGGGGTTTTCCATTTAGGTAGATGTTCATAATTGCTTTTAAAGCTTCTTGTTTAAGACCAGTACGTATTGTGTTTTTTGTAAGTTTATTGCTGCAAAGCCCCTTTCAACCGCTGCAGTACTCCCAGACAGAGAAAACATCAATATATGCGCAGTATGTTGCTGTATTGTGGGTCATTTTGCTGATTTGTAACTTACAAGACTCTTGTAAGATAACAAAAATTGAAAATGTATCACGAACATTAACGGGAAAATGGCCGTCCGCGCGGACGTCGGATTCGAGAAATTCGTTGTCCGCGGAGAATTTTTGACCGTCGAGGACGGGCGGACGGGCTGTTTTTCGAGCCCTGCCTGGTAGCATACAAGACTGCGAAAAGAAACCTTATAATTACCTAGATTTAAGATTATTTTCACCTTGTGACTTTATTAAAGGATTTTTTTCACGCTTGAAAATCCTAAGTCAACATAGATTTAACGTTTTTATATAGAAGGTTGTTTTCCAAGGATTTGGATTAGGATAATGTGCATAGAATACAGCAGATTGTCAGAGATTTCTTTTCAAGGTTAGAATGCTTACACGTATACCGCATAACAAACCTTTTCAGGTTTACATTAAAATTTTTTTGCTGAGCTAAAATAAACCTTATTTTGCACTATCTGGGATTATAAGACTACTTTTTTCCAAATTAATCTAAATTTTGCTTAACATCTTCTTCCACTATGTTCTTTTTGATCTTAATTTCTGATTATTTATCTATATAAATGCTTACAAATCCTGAAATTCTAAAATGTGTTTTTTTTTTTAATTTCTATTTCAGCCTCTCTTTCTGTTGTGGTGACGGATGTCAGGCTGACCGGAAGTGACATCAAACCCTACGTCCTCCAGGGAGAACCGGCCACAATCACGTGCCACTATATTCTGGAACCGTCAGAACTGGTGACCGAAGTGGAGTGGGAAAAGGACGGTGTCCTAGTGTACTTGTGGATGTTGGACAATGCACCAGAGGCCAAAGATGTGCTCGAAGGCAAAGTGGACCTCAGCATCCAATCACCGAGCGTGCTCAGTATCACGAACACCCACATGGACATGGACGGAACGTATACTTGCCGGGTGAGAACGAACGGGAAGACGGCTCAAAATGAAATGTACTTGATGGTCATTGTAGGTGAGATGTAAGCTGAATGTTGGAATTTGCTCTATTCGAATATTCGTTTTATTCACCATATGACTACGAATAATTTCATTTTATGAAAATATACATACATACATGAATCGAAATTTATAAATGATAAACATACCAAATATCTGTCATATATTTTTGAAACTTTTTTTTAAAATTTTTTTTATGACTGGCTGCGGTCAGTAAGCGGGTGGGTTACCCCTTTGATCAGCCTGAGTAGGGACAGAGGGTGTGTGTTATTGGTGCTCGTTAATCTGTTCTACAGTAAAGTGCTCAATTTCGCGTGCAGGTCATCGTGTTACAAAAGCAGGGGAGCCATCCCCTCTGCAGAGGATCAAAATTGCGATGGCATGTCTTCGGATCATCCTGATGGATGTTTCCCACACCGTCGCCAATAGCCCATTGTGCAGCTCTAGTGCGACGTTAATAAAGTACCTACCTACCTGAACCTTCTTGTAGGAGGTTTTTTTCCAAGAAAAAAAACACATTGTCTTGAAGTCGAATTTAAAATATATCTATGTAATATGTGTAATATGATTTTTGCAATGTCCCGTTCTATCTATTTATTCTAACCCGCTACTTCGAGGCTATATGTTGACTTCCATCTTTAAAACACTGCCATCTATGATTTAATAGTTACTAAATTACGTAAATAGTTACTAAATTATCTTTAGCTCGGCAAAATTGGGTTCCTCGTAAACTCGACTTCAATTTTTTATTCATAATTTCTGAGAGTTCGCCTTCCAATGCCACGAACCGGGTTCGAATCCCAGTCGATACGAATTCCACATCCGGCTTGCTCCGACCACAGTGCTGACGTGTTATATCCTCAGTGGTAGACGGATCATGGGTTAAAGTCCCATTGCCGTCAGGCTAACCGTGGGAGGTTCTCGTAGTCTTCCTCTCCATGTAACACAAATGTGGGTTAACTCCATCAAAAAGTCCTCCACGAAAGCAAATTTTTCCCAATACATGATCCAGGAGTTCCCTAGTCTTCTGTATTGGGTTCAAAATTACAAGGCTTCGGAGTTGAATATTAGAAGTCGTAAACCCAAACAATTGGGTCAGCTGTTCAACGACTGTTGTAAAATTTAAAATGTAAAAAATAAGGAGTCTATACTCTCTTTCTTTTTGGCTTTCTATATCTTCTACCTCCTAATTGCTGAATAAAATCTACCGGTGCTCTTGACTTGTACTTTGCCCTGGCCAACTCATAATAGGAGATCCATGCCAACTGTTTTTGCAATTGATACAACGTATCTATGATATATGCTACAATTTATTAGTATCTTTATAAATGTTAAAGATAAATTCTAATTCATTGTAAACGTTTTGTAACAATGAGTATTTTTGTGAATGTGTTTCAGTTTTATTTTTTTTTACCTTCAGCACTTTCAATTGTACAAATGCTACGTTAAAATTGTTAAGTTATGTATGTAATATTATTCAACCTTAGTTAATCAATTTAATATTTTCCACATTTCCAGACGCTTGCGATGAGAGTTCGTGGAAGACGCACACAGACATGATATCATGCACAGAAACTGTCAACATGCATTGCGTTGGCATTTTTCCTAAACCTAGTCCTGCTTGTGGTGTCTACTCAGAAAAAACTGGTGCGTATTAGAACTACTTTATCTTTTAAATATCTCAAGTAAAATAAATAAGTGAACGAAAGAAAAGGTGTAAACCAGTGTGTATAGAACTACTCCAACTTTTCCTTTTTTCAAGTAAAATAAATAAATAAACGAAAGAAAAGGTGTAAACAAGTGTGTATAGAACTACTCCATCTTTTACATTTTTCAAGTAAAATAAATAAATAAACGAAGGAAAAGGTGTAAACCTGTGTGTATAGAACAATTCTATCTTTTACATTTTTAAAGTAGAATAAATAAATAAACGAATGGAAAGGTGTAAACCAGTGTGTAAAAAACTACTCCTTCTTTTGCATTTTTCAAGTAAAATAAATAAATAAATGAAGGAAAAGGTGTAAACCTGTGTGTATAGAACAATTCTATCTTTTACATTTTTCAAGTAAAATAAATAAATAAACGAATGGAAAGGTGTAAACCAGTGTGTATAAAACTACTCCTTCTTTTACATTTTTTAAGTAAAATAAATAAATAAACGAAGGAAAAGGAGTAAACCTGTGTGTATAGAACAATTCTATCTTTTACAATTTTCAAGTAAAATAAATAAATAAACGAATGGAAAGGTGTAAACCAGTGTGTATAAAACTACTCCTTCTTTTACATTTTTCAAGTAAAATAAATAAATAAACGAAAGAAAAGGTGTAAACAAGTGTTTATAGAACTACTCCATCTTTTACATTTTTCAAGTAAAATAAATAAATCTGAGCTCGAATATGCTAACTTATAAGAGCAGACGATATTTTAAATTACGAAATCAGACACAAAAACGTACTTTCACTGAATAAACATACCTTTTATTTGTCGGATTATGATTTCTTTCCCGAAAATATGGGGGGTAGCCGAAATCTGGGAAATATGGTAGCGATAGTTTTGCCAGGAGAGCGGTCCAAAGTCTGAACTTCTATGCTAATTTTACTTTTTGCGTATTTCGCCACAACTCAAGAGAATTATAAGTAAATTGAAAAATTTTTGCACACAATTATAAAATTCGTAATTCCACTCAAAAAATAAATTTCGGTAGATATTTATTATTTTTCCTTATAATTTAATTATTTTTCTATTTTTTAATTTATAATTTCATTATAATTTATATTACAGTCGAACTCGTTTATAACGAGCACAAAGGGACCGTAACATGTACTCGTTAAATCCGAGTGCTCGTAATAAACGGGTCCTTAAGACAGGCGTGCAACCAGAAGAGGGGGGGGGGGCTTGGGAGGTCAAATGATTGAGTTTACTTAAAATTTAATTAATACTTACTTACTTTAATTACATTAATTAATTTAATTAAATACTTTTCTTAATTTAATGACAACTAACCCCCTTCCCTCGCATTTCTTTATCATTTTGAAAAAAAGATAAGACAGAAAGACTAGAAAGATGAGAAAGAAGATTGCAAGACAGAAAAATATTGCTCGCTAAAACCGGGTCTTGCTCGTTAAAAGCGACTTCTGTTCCATAGACTTAACATTGATCCAACCAAAAATTCTCATTTCCCTCGGTAAATCCGAGTTCTCGTTAAATCCGAGCTCGTTATAAACGAGTTCGACTGTATTTAATAATAGCAGAAAATTATTTTTACTTTTTGCGTATTTCGTCTTAACTCGAGAACTTTTTAAGTAAATTGAAAAATTTTTGCACACAATTATGAAATTCGTTTATCCGAAGATAATTCCACTCAAAAAATAAATTTCTGTAAATTTTTTTATTATTTTTTATTATTTTATTTAGTAATAGCCGACAAAATGTTGATACACAATTTGTATCTCATTTTTTAGTATTTAATTTTACATGGCAAAATACAAGATTTGAGCGAAATTGGTTTAATAGTTTCTGAGAAATCAAATTTTTTACAAAAAAGCCGTATATTTAAAATTTAATTTCTCAGAAACTACTTGACTAAATTCTCTCAAGGCTTGTATTTCGCCATGTAAAATTAAATACTCTGAAATGATATAAAAAAATGTATACTTTACAATTCAAAATTTTTCCGGTTATTATTAAATAAAATAATAAATATTGAGTGAAATGTATTTTTTGAGTGGAATTATCTTTGGGTAAACGAAGTCTATAATTGAGTGCAAAGATTTTTCAATTTGTTTAAAAATTTCTCGAGTTCTGGTGAAATACGCAAAAAGTAAAATTAGTATGAAGGAATCCAAACTTTGAATCGCTCTCCTGACCAGAGTATGGGGACCATATATTGTAGATTGCTGCTACCTGTATTTTTTTGAGGGGGGAGCAAAAATCTGAATCAGTCGAAAAAAAATTCTTCAGAGAAAAGGCAATTTTGCGTCTGATTTCGTAACTTAAAATATCGTCTTCACTAATTAATTAGCATATTCGAAGTCACCCCATCGAGTCATTAAGATTGAGTTTCAGAATGTGAGGATCGGATCATTAGATCAAAAGTTATTCAGGGTGCTTCGTTTTTTTTGACGCACAGTACAAATTTATTATTGATACATTAAAATTATTATTGTGATATAACTTTAAAAAGTATTGATCTCGATTTTTTTATGTGTTCTGATGATAGAATTCCTGTAAATATATACTTAAAAAATAAGCTAAAATTTCCTTTGAATACTTTCCACAAATATTTTATAAAATGTTTTTTTCGTTGTAGAGGATAAAAATAAATTGTAAATCTTTATCCTTTAGAAAGTGATTAAATTTCATCTTAGAACTAAGCCCTGAAGGGATTATATGTCATTAATTTTCGTTCGAATGGATTTAGTAAAGTTAAGCGCGAATATTCCCAGACAAATATTTATAAAATCTAATTTGCATTTTTCGAATATTAAATCAGACGAATGTTTTCGCTCAGATTATGAGATAGAATGAATGAAATTTAAATCACAAAAAGGAAATTCCCGTTGAAATGAAACAGTACAAAGTTTGAGTAGTTTCATTTCACCTCCATTAGGTTAAAAATAAAGAATCATTTAAAGTTCACAACGATTATATTATACATTGTTTTTGATTTTAAAGTCCATTGTTTTTTTAATATATTTTTTCTTTTTTGATAATGTCTCTATTTCCTTATGACAGAACTAAAGGAAAAAAGAGATTTTGCTAAAAACAAACTGATGCGAATTTTTTTTAAATAAAAATAAAAAAAAACATTTCATTATAAAGATTCTATTATAGCAATAAAATTTATTTAAGCAATGTTGAAATAAAATAGCATATATTTTAAAATTAACTAACGCAGGGTGCGTAGTGTTTTTAAAAAGCGCTTAATGGTGTTTATTTTTGATTTACGTTTTTTGAAAGCCCTTAAAGGTGCTTTTTTTATTCGGGATTTGTAAAAAGTGCTTAATTTTCTATTTTTTTAAAAAAGATTTTTCTTTGCCGTGTCGATTGTCGCTCTAAATTAAAAAAAATGCAAGATTTTCGCAATTTTCTCTGCAATATTTATCAGAAACTAGCTATTTTATCATGATTATGTAAAGTTTTTGAAAACGTTATTGAATTTTATTGATTTTATGTTTGCAAATTTAGAACTTTAAGCGATAGAAAAAAATAATTCTCATTACTGCACAGATCCTAATTATGATTTTTTTTGTTTGGAAAGTGACTAAAAATATAGATGGGGTTTTATAATCAAATAGTGTTTTTTCTTCTTCAAAGAACGGCACAAATAATAGCACATAAACAAAGTATTGTAGTTTCGGTTCTGTAATGAAGAATCTTCATTGCTCAAACACAGACTGCCTATCACACCCTGTGTAGGGACGCGGATCTTTTTTTTATTTTTAAAAAACCGAAGTTACATAGTATGCTAGTTATATAGTTAATTATATAGAAGTTATATAGCATATAGTTTGTTAGTTTATGTGGTATGCTCCCCTGTTGACCCATTTTTTGTTGCTGTTTATTCTGCAATCGCTGTTTGATACCTTCCGACTCCAACAAGTGTTACGCACGATCATGAGTGTGTATTACAATGGTTGAATGGTTATTTGTTTTGTATTGTATCAATGTATGTACATATCAAATTTCATTCAAATCGGTGCAGTAGTTCTAGAGATAATCAAATTTCATTCAAATCGGTGCAGTAGTTCTAGAGATAATCAAATTTCATTAAAATTGGTCCAGTAGTTCTAGAGATAATCAAAATTCATTGAACTCGGTCCAGTAGTTCTAGAGATAATTGACCAAGTCTGAAAATTCTCTTAATTTCTTACACCAGTATATTTGTTCAAATAATTTCTTCTATTCCCTTCTGCTTCTTCTTTGTTGTTTTTGCTAATATGTTGACTTTCCTTCCACTAGGTAAATATGTGAGTAGCATACCGTTCGACAGTGTGAACAAGTTGTTCAACAGGACGTACGAAGTGAGCTTCAATAGAAGGTTCGTTATCCAAGATTGGGTGAACGACACAGATTTGAGTTTTCGGTGCTACATGATGGTTTTGGGTACACCTTGGAGAAGTGGAATCAAGCACAAGATGTTCGGAGGTTGCGTATAATTTTGAATTATGAATGTAATAAAATTACAGAGATAGTTAGGAAAAATTAATTTGAATGGGAAACAAATCCTGACACAATATGTAAATTAAGTCTGCTAAATTAAGTTTGTAGCAGAACACTTTTTCATTATTACGTTGAATGCCATGCTCATTTTAAATGGCTTGCCCGTCTGGCCAAACGGTAAATAACTACAAACTAAATTTGCGATGCAAATATTAGACAGATTTTGCTAGTTTTTTAAAAAGGTTTAGTATGACATATCAGAAAAAAGTGGTGAATTATATAAGCCTACGAATTGCTTAGAAATAGTGGCGGATAAAAATCTACTAAATTGAATTTATTAAACAAAGAATCACAATTAATAAACTACCAACTTGAAAATATTTATTTGTTGTCCGGAGCAAGTTGGTATCTCTGTGTACATAAATAAAACTATTTTTGTGTGTTCTATATTGCATTCATTTCTTCAAACCATTTTAGTAACGATAATAATATAAAAAAATTAAAAGCATTAAAAATTTTTTCGAATTATGTGTTTCTTATAATCTTGGTTTCGCCGGTCACCGGTGATACCCGGGGCGCTACGAATAAACTCAGTGCCGGTAACCAGTGACCCCCATGGCATTCAACGTGTTAAAATGTAAAAAAAATAAATAATTCCCGAAACGTGTCTGAACACATGGGGCAGCTACGGTGCATGTAGTTTATATATGTAGGTAGTTATACGGTGCATGTAGTTTTAATATTTCGGAAATCTTTCGTGGGACAAGCCTTCCAAAAATGTCAATCGTCATCTATCTAGTGGTATCTTAAAATAGGTTAGATTTAACATGTTTTATATACTAGTGAATTGGAATTGAATAGTTGTAGTGGCAACTACGCTAAATTACTCCCCATACCAGAATTTTATTTGTGATAAAATATAATGAATGGATACAACTGGTTGAACTAGTTGGTTCATTGCTGTTTTGAGAGAGGTCGGGGAGTTTTATTAAGACCACCGGGCTTTGAGTGCTGGACGTGAGAGCTATTTTGGGCACATGGTTGTGGGGTTGCAATTTGCATTCGAGTGTGTACAGCTTCCCGTCGTGCGTGATCGAGACAGTGTCACAATTAGCGAGTTAGCTATTCTCTGTGAACCATCCATCGAACTAAGTCCGTTTGAAGCGAAGTGGGTGTTTGAGTCGAGGAAGGCATGGCCAGATCACATTCGAGTGTCTATCATTTGGGGGATAGGCTACCGACAAGTCAATTAAAAAGTCCCTCCTGTTAGAATCGAGTTAACACGTAAATATTATATTACTTACATACTATTGAATGGGAAATGAATAGCTGTTGTGGTAGTTATACGCTACATTACTCCCCCATCCCGATTAAAAATCAAGTTGCTTGCTTGATCTGTGATTGGTGAATTATCTGCCAGCGGTAGCTGTCTCCAAACTTCTAAATCTGTAACTTGCCCTAGGCAACTGTGACTAAATGTATACAAGTGAATAACTGTGACTAATTGTGTATAAGTGAATAACTGTGACTAAAAGTGAATAACTGTGACTAAAAGTGAATAACTGTGACTAACTGTATACAAGTGAATAACTGTGACTAAATGTATACAAGTGAATAGCTACACTACACTCTGTAACTGAATCGGCGTCAATGCTATTCAGTTTCCTACTTCTGAAAATAAATGTTTCTCAATTGATAGGTAACATATTAAAGGAAGTTCTTTGAGATCAAAAATAGTTTCCAAAATTTTTAATAGTGTATAAAGACACTATAAAGGATAGGACTAATGTGTTGAACCATAGTATCGTTTACATTTTCGACAAACATAATAGGGTACAAAGTTAAACGAATTCATCATACTTCGTAAACTTAAAGTGGAATCAAACACAAAATGTTGAGCTCTATGCTGGTTATACATTGGTCATATGCTTTTTCTTTCTGGATTGACTCCGTTAAACATTTCAAATCATGGATTGCAAAAACTGTCTCCATGGATGTTTGTCGTCGGATTGGTTTTCATATCCTGCCTGTGTACGTGTTTCAAGACGTCACAAAATACTTTTCCTTCTTCAGTATTTATATTTATATTGAAATCACCGTCAAGACAGTAATTATACGTTAATTAAGAAAAAAAATATAAAAATACTTTTATTTATTATTAGTATGTAAATACATTAAAAAAGCGCCTGCTAGTGAAAATAAAAATAAAAACAGCAGCGGTCCAACACCTCCTAGAATAAGGAAGGCCTCAGCACGGATTAATTTAGTAGTCCGATGTGACGAAGTTAACTGTGCAGTTGATGAAAAATAAGAAAGATGTCATTACGTTTGGACTACTAAAGGATATTTATGGTAACCCGTGCAGAGGCCTACTCTTTTCTAGGTGTTGAGCGGTCGCCATAGCAACGCATGCAATGACGACGCATGCGCGCTGTTTACCATTACTTTTGAACACAGTTAAAGAGTATGATGACGTTCAAATAAGTTGCGCACGCCATGAAACCGAAAACAAGACCCATTTTGCCAATGGGTAAAAAATAAAATTTTATTTTTAAGGAATTTTTTCTTTACTTTCAGATTCCGGATGTGAAAAATCTCCTCCACCAGTGTCACATGGTTATTACAACCTAACCGAGGAGCGGAGTTGTTGGAATTTCCCCGCGGAAGGTGCCCGGGCAGAATACCATTGTGATGATGATTACAGATTTCTAGGTTCATCTCTCTACGTGTGCAACGAAGGTCAATGGACACCTGAGGGAGTCATTGCTGATGGCGACTACGACAAACCAGCTTGCGGTGAGTATATTAGAACGATATGTATCATAGAATTGGATTAAACGTTAAGACAATTTTTTCTTCTTCTACTAAAAATATGTCGGAAAAGACGCCATTTCAATAGCGGATAAGAATTTTAGGAAAGAAAAAAGAATCAGAGTGGAGGTACACAATGGATTAGCTCGAAGGCCTCCCAGTGATGTACTGTACCAAAAGGGCCGAGAATGGTTTAAAGTTGTGAAAAGAGGGGGGAATTAACCAATCAGGGTCAAGCCCTAACCTCAACTTGTTGCGTAGCTTTTTTGTTGTTGTAGTAGTTCATTTACGTCGCACTAGATCTGCACAACGGGCTATTGGCGACGGCTTGGGAAACATCCCTGAGGATGATCCGAAGACATGCCTTCACAATTTTGATCCTCTGCAGAGGGGATGGCACCCCCGCTTCGGTAGCCCAACGACCTGCACGCGAAGTCGAGCACTTTACGGTAGAACAGTTTAACGAGGACCCATACCGCACACCCTCGGTCCCCACGCAGACTGATCCAAGTGGTCACCCACCCGCACACTGACCGCAGCCAGTGATGCTTGACTTCGGTGATCTGTTGGGAACCGTGTCTTAACGATCAGTCCACTGCGGGACGCGTAGCTTTTTTAAAAAGTGCTTAAAGGTGCTTTTTTCGATTTTCGTTCTTTAAAAGTCCTTAAAGGTGATTTTTTCATTGAGTGCTTTTAAAAAGTTCTTAATTTTCCCTTTTTGAAAATGATATTTTTTCTTTACCATGTCGATTTTCGCCACAAAAGCGTGCTTTTCACATTGTTCTATTCAAAGTTTTCACAATTCATTCAAACGCAATCTATTTAGGCGTACTGTCGGTCCATGGCGTATGAAAGCGCCAATCCTTTTACATGTTTGATGAAATACTGGCGAGTGTGCATCTGCATCTACTGAGGTGCGTTCGGTGAGATTCTTGCACTCTCATGTGCAACTCTGCTGAATTTTGCAAGATTTTCTCAATTTCAGGCTTCATTTTCCACCCTCTGATATTGAAACGAAAACTCTCGATCTAATGGCTAATATAATCAAGAAAAAGAGTTCCTTGTCAGAAACTAGTTATTTTATCATGATCATGTAAAGTCTTTGAAAATTATTTTGCATTTTGTTAACGTATATAGTGCTTTAAAATATTGTTTGAATGCTTAAAAAGGACTTAAAAGAATCTTATTTTTTGGTGAAATATTTGGCTACGCACTCTGCGCAGGATCAAAAACCCCGTTGATGGAAAAAAAAACTGGGGAATAAGCAAGGAGAATGACAAAAATTAAAATATGGTGAAAAAAAGGGAAGGGGTCAAAAAAAAAATAAATCTATGGATTTTTCCCACAGTTATCTATACCATCTTATCTATGGTTATTTGATTGTTTTGTTTGAATATGGTAAAATAACAATTAAATAAATTGCTATTTTAATATTTTCTCCAAGGAGTTCCTAACAGTGCATAAGGGCTAGTCATCGGAACCAGCATGTGCGGAAATTCCTAGAATTTAAAAAAAAAATGATAATTGTAAAATTATTCGACGAAAGATAAAGTATTTCTTTTGTGAAACTACCACTTCTCACATTATCTGATAAGAATGTGATAAGCAATCAAATGTGTTATTCGTTTTGACTTTTAAAGCAATAGTTGAGTCACTAACTCCTTAAACTCCTTTACGCCTTTATTTACATCTCCGGCTGATAGCAAATCCTTTAAGTCAACAAAAAGTGAGCTTTCATAATAAGTTGAATTGTATTTTATCAGCTGTTCGAAGAGATTTAATGAAATGATCTTTATTAAATCGAAGATTTCAATCGATATTATCTGATAAAGTGATAAAAAAAAATATGTTTTTTAATGTCAAACTAGAACATTCTTTCTGAAATATTTATCTAGATTTTGAAACTTGTCTATCTATCTTCAATCAATAGACAATTGGGTGTGTTTTAGGATTTTCAGTTTGTTGCTACTGAGATGTATCATTTTGAGAGTTTTTAATGTGATTCAGTATTTATGATTGCACTTCTTGGTAATGAATAATGTTATTTCATGAAAATGCAAGATAAAACCAGATAAATTGTTTTTTTTTCTTCAGAATTGTTTGCACTATTTACGTCAACTGAAAAAAACCCAGTTTTTTAAAAAATCATTTTTTGATAAATATTTAAAATATGCAGTTTAAACTTGACCTTCTTAATATGTGCTAGCAATGGTATTTTTTTTTATTCCGAGAAATATCACTGAAAAAAAATGTTTCAAGTTTCCAAATTTATAACTTAGTTTTCATGGGGGGGGGGACCTGTTTTACGTGAATCCCCCTTCACAATTTGAGGGAAAAAAACTGTTTCTATCTTTATTCTACTTTGTTTTTTCTTTCTTTTCACATAAGTAGCACATATTTTATTTCATTTTATAACCGTCATTGAACAGTTGACTCAAATTTGGGTTTACGGCTACTAATGTTCAACTCCGTAGCCTTGTAATTTTGAACCCAATCCAGAAGACAAGGAAACTTCTGGAACAGTACCTCCAGAGGTATTGACTTGTCATGGGAACATGAAGGACTTTGTGACTCGACAGAGTTAACCTGTATCAGTCACCATTTACTGCATGGGGAGTTTTCGGCCGGCGGAGATTGAACCCACAACCTCTTGGACATGGGTCCCGTGCTCTACCAACCAGGCTATCCCAGCCCTAGTAGCGCATATTTTTTTTATAACCGTCTTTGAGCAGCTGACCCAATTTTATGGGTTTACGACTACTAACGCTCAACTCAGTAGTCTTGTAATTTTGAACCCAATCCAGAAGACAAGGGAACTCCTGGTAGTATTGGGAGAAATTTGTCTTCATGGAGGACTTTTTGATGGAGTTAACCCGCATTTGCGTTACACGGAGAGGAAGACTGCGAGTACCTCCCACGGTTAGCCTGACGGCAAGGGGACTTTAACCCATGATCCGTCTACCACTGAGGATATTTCACGACAGCACTGTGGTCGGAGCAAGCCGGATGCGGAATTCGAATCTACTGAGATTCGAACCCGGTTCGCCGCATTGGAAGGTGAACGCTCTATCCCCTGAGCCATCGCGGCTCTAGTAGTACATATTAAGATTAACTTCAAAAATATGTCTTGCAGAAAGTATGAATAAAAAAATTGAAGTTGAGTCTATGAGGAACCCTGTTTTGCTGTGCTAAAGATAATTTAGTAACTATTTGCGTAATACCGATAATATAATACTATAAATGAAATTGAAATATTTACTTTAATTGAAAAACTATGACTCAGCTGTTTTGTGATATAATATTATTTTATTGCAACATTTTTCGTCATTACATATTGTTGTTGTTAATTTACGTCGCACTAGAGCTGCACAATGGGCTATTGGCGACGGACTGGGAAACATCCCAGAGGATGATCCGAAGACATGCCATCACAATTTTGATCCTCTGCGGAGGGGATGGCACCCCCGCTTCGGTAGCCCGACGACCTGCACGCGAAGTCGAGCACTTTACGGTAGCACAGTTTAACGAGGACCAATACCGCACACCCTCGGTCCCTACGCAGACTGATCCAAGTGGTCACCCACCCGCACACAGACCGTAGCCAGTGATGCTTGACTTCGGTGATCTGCTGGGAACCGTGTCTTAACGATCAGTCCACTGCGGGACATTACATATTAGAAAGATATGAACGAAGAATATTTAAAAAAAAAAAAAAAAAATGGGTCTATTATGGACCGCACTTGTTTACATAAAAATATAGTTTATTATAACGTATTATCCGACTAAATTGTTTTATGAAAATCCGTTATCTCGACTCTATCGCTTCATTAAAATCTATTGCTTTGATTATATTGTTTTTACTAAAATCTATTATCTCGATTAAATATTTTTATTCCAATCCAAATCTCGACTATATTATAATTGGTTATACAAACCATATTTATGATTAAAATCCATCATCCCGACTGTACAGTTTTACTACGACCCATAATTCCGACTTCATTAATTTATTAAAATGTATTATCTTGACCATGTATAGTTTTATTGAAGTCCATTATCCCGACAATTTAGTTTTAATAAAATCTATTATCCCAATTATAAATGGTTTCATTGAAATTCATTATCTCGACTATATTGTTTTAATGAAATCCACTATCCCGAGTACTGAAATTTATTATCCTGACTATATTGTTTTATTAAAATCCATTATCATCACTATATTGTTTTGATGAAAATTCCTCCTCCACACTATATTTTTTTATTAAAATCCTTTCACGTCACTATATTGCTTTGATAAAAATTACTCCTCCACACTATATTGTTATATTAAAATCCATTATCATCACTATATTGTTTTGATAAAAATTACTCCTCCACGCTATATTGTTTTATTAAAATCCATTATCATCACTATATTGTTCTGATAAAAAAAATTCCTCCTCCACACTATATTGTTTTATTAAAATCCATTATAACCTCTTGTTTTATTTTTATTTATTTATTTTTTCCCCAATGGCAGGCACTGAATTTGAAACTTTGCCTATACTATGCCAGAATTGTTGCTCATTTCGCGTTACCCAGTGGGCACCTGTGAACCAAAGTCACGGAGGCGAGCAACATTGCCCACGCCGCACGGCCACAAACCCGTTTATAGGGTGGGCCACATTCACACATCATACACACACACACAACAGAGGACAGCACAAAGAGAGAGAGAAACATCCATGCCCAGAGCGGGATTCGAACCCGCAGCCTATGGCTTCGCAGTCAGGCACGCTAACCGCTCGGCCACGCGGCCAGCCCTCTTGTTTTATTAAAATCTATTATTGGCCGTACTTTGCCAATCATGTTAACGGAAAAGTCTTCTGGGCGAGAATTAAGGAGTAAATAAGGAGAATTAAGGAGTAACTTTTTATGACTTTTAGTAACAATTTAGCACTTTTCAAATATTATAAATTTTTACATTTTTTTCGCATTTCTTTGATAATGTGTGTTATGTAGCTTAATATAAAATTCCCTACATTTTATTGTTTTTCATTTCAGTTGATATCAATGATGGACGAATAATTACCGGAGTGAACTCACTGCTGTTAACTCTAGCATTGAATTTTGTAGCCTGGATACTGTTTCCATAATATTTGTTTTAGTTTTAAAATATGCATATTGTTTGTAAATATATTCGTTAAAGGAAACAAGAGATATCGGTGCTTAATTACTAACAACAAGCTTAATTGAAAAATTGTCATATATGTATAATTAATATGTAAGTATGAAGTAATATCACCTAAGTGTGAATAAATATTTATATACAAATATTTACCTACAAATATTTACATACAAATATTTATTCATACTTACATGCGACTTACACTAAGTTTGTGATGACTAGATATAATATACAAATAATATATCTTTATAATTTTCTTGCACAGAGAAATAATTATAAATGGAAACAAGAACAAGAATAATTAGAAACAAGAATAATAAAAATTCAAATTAAAATTTTATTCCTGTCAATATTTTATTAATATGACACTATTACATATTTCGCATTACAATACATAAAATTGAAATGTATCTCTTCCTTATATTATATTTTTGAATGTATATAGAACGTCAATCAATTAAACTCATTAATTATGTCAGTAAAAGAATTAATATACTAAAAGCAACTTTTTATAACGATAATTATGAAAGCAATGCTTAGTACGTAGATAATTATTTACTGTTCAATAGTTTTTATTATTTATTTTTTCCCACTTAATCTAATGTTCTGTTTCTGTAGTCTATGTAACTAAAAAAAGTTCACAGCTATGCAACATTGTTATAATTTTATTAAATATTTATTTCAAATTTTCTCATCTTTTAATTAAAAAAAGGAAAAATTAATTAAAAAAAGGAAAAATTAATTAATAAAGGAAAAATTAATTAAAAAAGGAAAAATTAATTAAAAAAAGAAAAATTAATTAAAAAGGGAAAAATTAATTAAAAAATTTAAAAATTAATTAAAAAAAGAAATTAAAAAAAGGCACAATGACAATTCTGTTGTTAGTATGGAGCACGGTATATCTCTTAGATGTTCAATGATATGTGAAACAAAGTTGTGCTAATTTTATTTATTGTTATTGTTATAGACTGTAAAAACTAATGGTTTCTACAAATAACCATTTGGTTATTTGTGTCACTAACAGATACCACTAGTCGCTGTTTTCATGTTTCCAAGTTATGTCTGAGAGTGGTGATGTTTTTTTTCCAAATTAGAAACCCCCTGCGCACATTTGTTAAAAAAAATTACACACATGAATTGAACAAGAATAAACTTTAAAAAGATATTAAGAGATAAATTATTATTTGATTAATGTTAATGCTGTTTTATGTCAAATATTCTATGTCAAAGTTTTTAAAAAATGTCAAAACTTATTTTATTGAAAATGCTTGCCATACTGATATCTCAAATAAAGCAGGAAATTTGACATGTTTTTAATGAAATCGCTAATACTTAATTAATTACGGTAGAACTAACTATTTTACTAGTTTTAATATTCATGTTGTATTATATCTTTACCCTTAAGCTAATTCTAAGATAAATAATGATTGAATATATGGAGGCATTAAACAGATAAACTATAAAACTAAAAATAATAGCTTACTATAGTACTTGAAACACCATTGACGATCAAAAGCTATATGTTAAATAAGCTACATTTAAATTTAAATACAATAATTGACCTATATTTTTTCATAGTTATTCTCGTCAAGAGAAGACATACCTCAAAAAAATTTTTTAAATAAAAATTTATTAATGAATTCATTGAAAAAATAATTCTTCAGTTATTAAGCATTTGTAACAAGCAGAATTTTTAATGAAAAAGAAAATTAATCTTTTTATTTTTAAAAGAATTGAAAAGCATTTCAGCGCTTGACGAAATTTAAATATTGTTTAAACTTATTTGGATTTGGCTGAAATTTAAAAACGTTTTTCTTAAGATCTGTTGAAGAAACATATAATTAATATTATTTCCTCTTAAACCAACTAGTTTTGTTTTAAAATTGATAATTTTTATCAGTATTGAGCATAAAGTACAAATAAATGTTTCAAAAATGTTTTAACCTTTTTTATATTATAATATAAATAACTTTCTTCGCTAAAAATATTTAATAATAGGGCTAGTTTGAATTTTTTTTTAAAAATTAGGTTGTTAATAATTACGAGTTTCATATTGGCAGTAGGTTTATTTTTGTTGTATAGTAAATGAAATAAACGGTTTTTGCAGTTTAAGTTACTTCAAAAAAGAATAATTGATGATATTGATGTTTCATGTCAACTTTTTTTTACTTTTACATGATCTTCACTGTGACTACAAGAATTTATTCTTTCTTCAAAACTTGAATAAAATATTAAAAATAAATGTTAATGTTATTTTTCAAGTTGTAAAAAATAATAGAATAAAGAAAAACTTTATAGTGAAATATTCCCCCCCCTTATTATATTTAAACAAATTAGAGGATGATGTTGGAATATTATAAGACAGTTTATTAACTTAATAAAACAGTTTAAAACTTAATATGTCTTGAATACCTTTTTGTAACTAAAAATTAAAAAATATATAAAATAACGTGATATAGTTATAGAAGATTTTATCAAAATCATTAGCTCGTAAGAGAATAACTAATTTTCTAAATAATCAACTTGGGAATTGTAAAACATGGTTTTAATATTTAAATACAATACATGTTATTTAACTGAATGGTTTTTATTTATAAATCAAATTACTTACTTTTAAACATGTAGGTAAAGAAAAAAAAATCCCGTCCTACAGTGTGATGTTAACACTTAGCTGTCTAGTGTTCAAAATAGAAGAAGTCTATTTATGTATAATATTTGTCTATAAATGTAAAGTAGAAATACTGATTAATAGGCACGTTATAAGGCATGTTAATAATCATAATTTTAACAAGCTGATTTAATTATATTGAATTAACTAATTAATTAATAAATAATTAATGATAATATTATATTAATTAATTAATTTATTAATTAATAAGAAGAAATTAATTTTAAAGTAGATGAAAATTATAGAAATTAGCTTAAGATTTGAAAGGAAATTCAAAATCAATGAAAAAACTTTATTCTATGTAATCTTAATTCGGGAAAATGACGAAGAGGATTTTTTCAATTAATTATTGATTTTATAAATTTTATTTTATAAAATTTAGTTTCAAATGCAGAATCAGTTTTTTTCTATCTATAAATTAAAAAATGATTGAAATTCACTAATTTAAAGCAAGCAGTATTTGATTACACTAAAGAAGTTTTATTTTTTCTAAAAGTTAACTGAAAATGTTTTATATAAGTGTAAGAATTTTTTAAATAAAGAAATAAAATTTATTTGCGGGAATTTTATTAGGAAATAATTTTAAACTTTCTTCAAATTACAGTTTTGGGATAGAAGATTATTATATTTATTTTATTAAATTTTTTTTTTACTTTATCGTAAAAAAATTGTGTTTTTTTTACAACTAAATTCATTATAATTTATAATTAAAATAATCTAATCATAAAATGCTTAAATTTTTAATCTAAGCATATTGAAATTGAACTAATTATAGATAATTTAGAAATTAAAAAAAAAATCGGATACAATATGAATTTGATTTAAATAAATATGAATAAACCAATTAAAATTGTGCAAACTATTTTTATGTTTTTTCCCTTTGACGCAGGAATATTATTAAATATATTTTTCCTAATTTTATCATTATTTTGTATTAATGTAGGTTAAAATAAGTGCAAAATATTATATTTAAAATTTTTAACTACTTATGATTATGAAATACAGATATGATTATGAAATATAAATAGATCAAAGAGTGGTTGTGAAAATAGTTGTGTGAAAACTTTACTGCCTATTAACTTAAAGTTAGTTGCTCGAATGGTTTATAAGAAGTGTTACAAATGCTAAGCTAGAGTTACAACAGTTAGAACACGTTTTGAAATAGAGAGCTTACACGCGCTTTAACACTGTTAAAAGGTAAGAGATGGAGATATATAGGTATCTTACTGCCATTACCACTTTTATAAATATAAATGTATATACAAGTAATAGTTGTTACTTAATGTGTTTGTCTATATGTAAATTTATATTCATTTAATTCTTCTTGAGATTGTTTATCCAAACTGTATTCTTCATTTAATTCGTTATTCATTCAATACCTTTAATCCACTCACTTATATGTGAGATCATGTATCATATATAAAACGAACTTTAGTACCCCCGGGAGTGATATCAATTCTGTACTCACGTATTTTACCTCGTACACTGTTAAAATTTTGATTCTAAAATTATGGTAAATTAACTGGCAGCTGTCTGTCCATCCGATTAACCTTAAAGTTTATGGTAAAGAGCATTTGCTTCCTTTATGGTTTTGAAACTATTTTCAAAAAGTATGGTTATAAAACCATGAATACAAAACTGTATGGTTTTTTAACCATTTACAACTAGCATTTTTCAAAAACGTAAAAAAAAAAAAATTATTTAACTAGACATAGGAGCTCGGCTTTTCTGAAGGTAATGGGTATTGGAGAGCGCCGGGCAATGGAAATTCTTAATGAGTTTTTTATTTTATTTTATAACCGTCGTTGAACAGCCGACCCAATTTCATGGGTTTACGACTACTTATGTTCAACTCAGTAGCCTTGTAATTTTGAACCAATCCAGAAGACAAGGAAACTCCTGGATCAGTACCCCCAGAGGTATTGATTTGTTGTGGGAACATGGAGGACTTTGAGACTCGACAGATTTAACGTGCATCAGTCACCATTTACTACACGGGGAGTCTTCGGCCGGCGAGGATCGAACCCACGACCTCTTGGATATGGGCCCAGCGCCCTACCGGCCAGGCTATACCGGCCTTTCTTAATGTGTTGAAGGGAGTGGAGGAAATATCGTAGTGTCAACACTAGGACTCGAACACCAGTTCTGCCGATCATATGAGATTGATAGATAAGCCCGCTCGGCTAAGATATGTCAGCATTTGCAAAGAGCTAAGTAGCTTCATTAGGTGGTTCTAGTGGGTGCGATAAAATTCTGGTTGTTTAACCGTATTAGGCGAAAGCAGTTAATAAACAGTTTTTCTCAAACTTAACAGTTTGATTACCGTTTTATTTATGGCCATTTGACTGTTTTGATTAAATATTATAAAATAACCATTCAATAAATTGTTATTTAACCATTTTTACCGAGAAATTTCTAACAGTGTATTAGTACGTATACTCTAAAATCAGGTGAACCAATGTTAAAATATAGAAATACTCTACATTCGTAGTTCCGTTGAAATTATCTTTGACGATTTGCACAATTTACTTACTGCAAATTATAAATTTATAAAATGTTATAAGTCTTATTATAATAGTTCAAAGCTAGAAAATTAAAAAAAAAAACTACTTGTGAAAACAATTTTGTGAACTTAGCCTGTTTGGAATATGGAATATTTTTTGAAATATTTATGGTTTAAAATTTTAAACTTAGATTCACTATAAAGTGTTCACTAAGGCAACTTTAAGGACAACACTTTGCGTTATTTTAGAAGCAATAATACATTTAAAAACTAAATAGAACGCTTTTTTAAAAAAAAATAGATTACAGCGTTTGAGGTCCGCGTATTAATTTTATGCAGATTCTTCTTACTAAGGCAGCAATTAAATTTTTTTTTAAATTACTGAGTTTTTGCGTTGGATATTAGAAGGCACTATAGCTAAAAAGATTTTATTACTTTAATAATATGTCAACAATTACATTAAAAACTTAATGCCTGATATGAAATAAGACATTGAAAAATTTGTTGCCAGACTGCAACCCGAGGCTCCTATTAAATCATGTAGCCAAC